AAACAATTGAAATTTAAAATGAAACAGGTCCTTTTATGCGTTTGAAACCGTGTCAAAAATTCTATTGTCGAGCATCTTGGGACATTTAAGAAATTCCCGAGTGTTGGTATACCAGGCCGCTTACAAATCAAAGATGATTATTTTAAGGACACTATCTTCCCATTTTGAAACAGAAAACATATTTTAAAAAACAAAAAATATTGGTATTCAGTAGTTTCTCATTAAGTAGTTTCTCTAATCGCTAACTTCTTGGTGTTATAGCATTTAAAAATGCCCAAAATAGAGACTCAAAAATTTTAGCACATCAAACTTGGTGTGATGCATTTTTTAAACAATTCAAAGAATTAGATTAATAAATCAATTTGAAATCATATCTAAAATTCTATTATATATAAATATGATAATCTGTCATCATTATCAGAAAAAAATATTTTTTCAGCTATTATCACCAAATTTTGAAACAGAAAACAAAACTCTGAAAAAGTACAATTCCTCCTAGCTAAAAGCATTTATCGAAAAAGACAGGAAGTATATACCCAATCCAACATCTCTTTTTCTCCCATTCCCAAATCCTCTCAATCCGTTAGAAAATGCAAATTGGCCTCTCATAAATCAGACCGTTTCTTTTTATGAAATGACCCAGCCAGCCACCACAAGAATATTTTTATTTCTCTTTTTATTGCATTTCTCTCCATCATGATATATTATTATGATTGAGGGGACTGAAACCGGTTGGAAGGGATTTCTTTTTTGGAAAAGGAATCAATTTTTACTAAAAAATAGTTTGAAAAATGAGCCAGTTGACATTAAATTTTAGGTGCAAAAAAAGTCCCGCAACTTTAGCTTTGATTATCTCAGTTGCAAAAATAGCCATCAAAAAGTGGTCAACTAGTAGAATGTAGGAAATTCAATTTTACATAACTTCATAGTTGACAGCGTTTTTGTATCTTCACCGGGAACATAGATATATGAGGTGGAAAAGCGCTTGTGAGCTCATTTCAAATTGAGGCAACTTGTGAATGAAAATTTGCGTGAGATAACTGAAGAATCCATTTGAAATCTCATCCTAGTAATATGATAGTTTGTTCTTCTTTTTTCAAAGTTCAACACAGATACAAAATGAAAGAAAGAAAGAGAGAAGAGAAAGAGCAAAAAGGATAAAGTTTCAAGGGAGTGACAAACACAAATCAGCGAGGGAGGAGACAGAAAGAGGAATGCAGTAAAGTATCACTTCACAAATTTTTAAGATCCCAACTTTTTGTAACACTGTAACATTTAACTTTTTGAGGTGCAAAGATTTTTGAAATGAAATCAACAGGGAACTAGAAATAGTTGGGTGTGATTTTCTGCAAAGTTTTGACATGGGAGAAGGAATTTTCAAATATTAGAAAAATTATTAAACACCTATAACATATATTTGTATGAGTGAGACTGAATAACTATTTTTTGAAACCGTGTTTTTTCAAATTTCTAGAATACTTACAACTACAACTACCGTAACCTAAACAGGTTTGACTTTTCAGGATTTATTGGCCGGTAGTGGAAAATCAGTGGAAAAAAATGATAGAAAATGATAGAAATGATAGATTTTGTTCAAATAAGCAGTTTCCGAAGTTATTTCCTGTTGAAATTATATTTCCCAGCAAAAAACTTCAGTTGATATTTTTTGAAACCGCGAGTTTTTCCCAATTTTCGGCGGTACTCGATAACAAAACTGTAACATAATAAAACTGGGCATAATGAAACCATACTTAACAGGCCTTGAAATCTCCGATTCTCCATCTTCCTTCCCTATTCTGTGATACCTCCCATTAATTAAGTCATTTGGGTGGGGTCAAGCATTTCCAATAGGACACAGAATCAAAATTTCAGTGTTTCACGAAAAAAACGAAAATTTCAAAAAATTTTAATTTTGGAACTTTGTGCTCAGATGTGTGTAGGCGGCATTAAGATAGACTTAAAAACCGTTTTGCAAAGGTTCATGAAGTTTTCTCAAGTTTGAACATAATTTTGAAAATTTCGATTCTCAACCCTATATGTATCCTATTAGCTAGGAGGCCCAGGACACCATGGACATGAAGCGCTCGGTAGTCCATGACTACATACTACATACCACTTTAGGAGTCCCATATCCCTTTGAGTTATTCAAGTGAATGTCCGAGACACACAGACACACGGAAAAGTTTCCTTAGTAAGA